ACATGAAGGCTTTGGTGCATTTTCGTCTGGTATAGAATGCTGACCCACGTCCAGGCAATGCTGTATGGAGCAAAGTGAGTGGCGTTATTGTGTGTCCTAAACGCTAATTTTTACGGGAAGCAACGTCATATGACAAAATCAAATGTCTACAAAATGCGGCTTTGAAATGCCTCAAGATCTGGCCATGGGTTTGAGCGACCTGTATGTGATCGAACGACGACGACAACAACAAACTGACAAGTGGATAGAGGTTAAATATTACTCGTTCCAACGGATCATTGGCCGTTGGGAATAAGTGTTATTCGCTGAGACTTGGTGACCCAGTGATAGAGGCTTTTGCGATACCCACATTCGTTCCAGTCGGCGATTTTGCTATCACTATCTGAAGTGAGTGCGAAAAAGCTCTCGAAACCCATCGGAGTGGCAACGTTGTTGATTGAGTAAAACAGCAGATAGAACAAAGCGTCCACACAGCTGTACCTACAAAACACATCAGGCTAGCTCATTTGTGATTTGCATATCTGGTGGGATAAATCGAGAATTTTTAGCTGACGATTGTGGATTGATGAGTTGTTTGTCTTTGCGATCTTGTACGGAACAATGGAATACGAGTATGCCAAAAGCAACTCAAGAACATCAGATGGTCATAGAAGGAATCCGCACAGGCTAGTGATGTAAACAGAACACTCGGTCATACAAGCTTCTGATTTGGCCTGAATTTGAGGGACACTCACCTATAGCATTTTCTCTAATGTAGCTCAGTACTTTCCCTAGCTCCGGATCCTGCAAAATTGTCCAGTACAGCATATACGGAAAATAGTTGATTGCTACATCTGCAATGATTCGGTGTCGGCACTCCGCGACTGCTTCCACCAACTAACGGTAGTGAGAATACGAAGGACCGAGAGCAAGGGTTCGTTTACATAGGGAAACCATTTCGTTATATAGCGTGACGCATAAGTGTGAAAACCAAGCAGATTATGGAAGGCTGTTACAGACAAGTAAAGCCAATAAAAACAGAACAAATGAGAGAAGCCAATCAGGTGCACACATAGAATTGGAAAGTGAGTGAGGTCGGCGTCAGAGTAGGGCCGCGATCTGAACGAGAAATAACGACTCCAAATAGCCAATAGGGAGAGCGAAATGATACGTTAAAACAAGCAAGCGTTGAACCACCGGATCAAAACGAAAGTCTGCAGGTCCATGAGCGGTTATACAAGCATATCTAACTCCATTACTCCTCTAACAACCTGGTAAACCGAGTGAACATAATTAGTCACAGTGAAACCACCTTCTGGATGACGAATGCGTTTGTTCGCTGTGGAGCTCAGAACACCCCATCTTCGCATGGCGTACAATTAAGCTAATCGGAGTGAAATGTCTGAAATTTAAATGCTCACTAATCGGCACCTAACCCCAGATGTAATCAGCTTTGTCCCTTGCAAAAAAACCACATAAAAACTTCGATACTTTCCCGCTTACATGACCTGGTCAGTTAACTTCCGAGTTCAGGACATTCGCGACTACATAATAACAGAGCGGGGCCCCACCCGAGCAACCTTAGAGCAAGCTCTTGGGAACGTAATAGGATATCCGAAAATAGACACGATCACATCCTTCATGTGTTGAAAATAAGAGACTCATCTAGTTCAGAATCCTCAATACACATGGCTCCTTAGTCAGGTGGTGATTCACGATCCATCTGAATTTCGACAACCTTAGTGCGAATAAGTTCCTAACAATGTCAGAACGATTCTGGAGACCTTAGAGAAGTTGAAGGAAATAACTGACAAAAAGTACCAAGATTTCCTCAAAGGATTAGTAAACTGGGTGAGCTAGGAAACCAAGAAAACATTTATGAAAGCCTTATCAAATTTATGGAAATAGCAGACTTGATTCGGTCGATGGTCCGCTTCACAATTCGAGTTCCGGTAAGGAATGCATGTTCGATTCTCATAAAAGAGAGATTTCAAAGAGCTGACACCATGACAATCTTCGTACACGACGATGGTAGTTATACTGACATTTCCATTATGGTTTAGCGAGGTAACG